GGATGAGCATCACCTGCGGTCCTTGCTGGAAGCACGTATCAAACCCCAGCCTAAAGTTCGTGGTGGAAGGTTACTGTTGATCATACAGACATAAACTGGGGAAACACCTGAAATGAAAGGCAAGTCAGCAACAACAAATCCCTGGAGTTTATGGGACACGTGAAGATATGTGGCTTGTTGAAGACACTTAGGTATGCTGCGGGGGGAGGTCGTATTGGTCACCTGCTGTCCAGATTGCCTTAGCTTCTTCCCTGCTGTGCCCCTGTTGCTAATGCTGACTCTGATAGACACATGGCAAAATGGAACTTAAGCCTCCCCTGTTCTGGTTTGGTGTGGTGACCTTTCAGAAACACAGCTTCCACCAGCAGTGATTGCTCAAGCAGTACTAAGAATTCTTTATGGGGGAGAGCTACTTTAAACTAGTTTTCTTTGTTGATGTTTTTAAAATTTCTTTTCTCTTTGTGAAGTATTCTCTTTGTGCTGAACCAAAAAAAAAAAAAAAAATAACCCTAAGTTTACTTTCAGCTACCAGTGCTCTTCCTCAAAAACGTTTCATTAAGGTATGGTTGAGGTATACACACATCCTCAACACCTCTGGTTTTGAATAGTCTATTCAGCACATTTACAAGAGAAGCATCCCCATTCCAAAGCCTGATATGCAACATTTAGATACAGATCTAAAATAATTGTGGCAAGCTTTGAAAATGTTATATTTTAGTTTACTCTTTTCAGTGGTATACTCCATGCTCTTTTGCAAAATCCCTGAATAGCTACAACCCTACTCAATGAAAAGTACTCTCAAAGTCTTTTGAATTCTCCTATAAACCCTAAGGCTTTTCCTTCCCTCCAGGAGAACTTTTGAAGCATTAGTAGTTTTTTGTTTTGTTGAAGATTTTGTATTTTTAATATATTGCTTCTTTTCCATCTTGCTTAATTAACTGCTTGGAGACTTCTGTTATGTTCATGCAACCAGCACAAGAACAACTTTCCCCTAGTAACTGCTGTCTTTTTGAGAGCCCGTCTTAATCAATATGCATCAAACCAAAATCTCTGAGCACTTTCCTAAAACCATTCAATATATGAGCTTGCCTTATGTGTGACTTTGGCAATCATAGCTGATCAACTTTTCCTTCTTCAGTCCTTTCCTCTTTCTTTACAAATTCTAGGGAGCTGAGATGCTTCTGAGAAACAAAAGAGGATAGAAAACCTCAGATATGAAATTTAAGGTTTTTGAAGTCTGTAGGCTTAACCTTGGATTTCCAGGACTATATATAAACATTTAATAAAACAGTGCTCAGTCCTAGAGCTGCTAGGTATTTATAGCTTCTATAGGCAGGTAGACATTTAGGATGCCTGGAAACCAGACTATGCAATTAAATATTTTACCATGCACTCAGGGACCCAATGTTAAGTGTAAGCATAAATACAAAATTACAGTAGTAAAAGAACACTTCACTGCCTGCTGTTATCTGAATTCACAATCAAAATTAATCCAGTGGATGCATATTAGAAACATTATTTTTAAAACCTGCTAAAATGGCTCAGGTCAATGTTGTGGTCCTGAATGAATGAAACACCAATATTTTCCTTACTCTTCCTAGTATTTTTATCATTACTTTTATTGAATCTTTGTGAGGGCCTTCCTTCTTTCATTCTAACTCATCGTTCTTAGCACATGCATAATTTCATGACTTTGTAAAGACCTAGAGATGAATTAAATTTGAGATGAAAGGAAAAGAGATTAATAGTAAAAAGGAAAAAGCTTTCTCCTTTTAAAAAAGTGACTCAAATACTACAGATTCGCTGCCAGTGCTTGTCTGAGAAGTATTTATGATCACAGATGTTTATAAGCCAAGACATTTTTGTATAAAGTCCTGCATATTTCAGGGATCGTTTTATGCATTTAAGGAACATATTCTTAACAACTCATCTCCAGGTTTTATTTTTAGAGCACTGCCACAATATTTTAGTATAATTTATTAAAAATTTATTATACTGTTAGCTCTCAAGTTGTAAATGAAGCATGTAGGAGGAGAAGGATTACTACTGTACAGCTTCTACAACTGGGAATAATTACAGTCCTTCTAGAATAAGAAGGGGGTGGAAAAATACTGTGTAATAGGTTGTGTATACTTTTTCCTTTCAGTTACAGACGGATTCATTTTTAAAACCTGCAAATCTCTCAGCTCCTGCTGGGTGTTGGTTACCCACCATGAGATTGACCTGAGAGAGAAGAAATGGATACAGTCAGAGAACTCATCTGGGGCTCCTCTGGCTGTAGCTCTGAGAGTTGACAGCTCAGTGTTTCTTGTGCACCTCATCCTGACCCTTGGAAGCTGATGGGCATCTATCAGGTTTCAGTTCACTTGAGTCCTAAGGAATCCTTCAAGGACGAAGAATTCTTGTATAGATTCTTCCTTGTTCATCCCATTTTAAAACTTCCATTCATTTTGCAAAAATAAATTTTACTTTATATCTAAACCAGTTCAATTTGGATTCTCTATGCACTAAAGATTTACTTTCATTTTGATTTGACACTTTTTTTTTTTAATTTTCATTAGGTAGAAGATGAATAATGTCATGTGTTTTTACCAGTCCCATGAGGATTTTGAAAATTTCTTGTAACTATAGTTATAACATCAAAAATAATTTTGTTCCAGTGAGAAAGAACTTCCAATCTTTTTCATTTGTCCTTTATAATTACTTATTAATTACAGTGCCTCAAAGGAGCCAAGCTTGCTGGCTTTTGACCAGAGACAAGTCACAACTTCTCTTCAAAGCATAGATCTCTGAAGTGACTGAACTTCAGAACTTTAGTCTTCAGAAAACATATTTTAACCTGCAAATATCTATTGCTGGCTAGTTAAATGAACTACCTTAAAATGGTTAACCTCAGTATGTAAAACATAGGCAGACAAGTGATTTTTCTGAAATATGGTTTCTATATGTGGTTTGCGTGAACCTTGGGATAATGTTTTCATAGCAGCTGAAATTTCCTCCTGAACGATATTAAACAACTATGGAAGAAAAATCTTTTAGAGAGTTGATGGACATTCTCCCAAACAAACCCCCTCTGTGTGCAGCAAAGGGGTCTATTTAACTTCAGGCTGTTACTTTAGCCTGTATAAGGCAGCAAGGAGATTAGGCAGACTGATGCTCTTCTCTTTGACTATGAACCAGAGTATCCACAGACTGGCAGACATAATTGAGGCTGCCAGCCTGGGGAACTCTCCTCATACCTATTTGCTCATCATACAGGAAGGTGAAAAATCTTACACTTCCTAGCCAGTAATTGGTTACTCTGTTATTACAGCTTCATTAGCATATTCAGCCTATTTATTTAATATTTGTGATTGAAAACAACTAACTGCAGATGTTGCTAGTGGTTGGTGTGTAACATGGACTCAGCCATTCATGCAGCAAATGAAGGAAATATTGGGCAGAAGAAGAAATAAGAAAGGAAAGCCATAAAAACACAGCAGTGGTTGGTTTTACACTGATAAAGTAAAATCTCACTGAATAATCCATAGTTTCAGTGTTGGTGATATTTCACCACCAGCAACTCTTTCTTTAATTGGAAGGAAGTCAACAAAGATTGTAAAGCTTGTTGAATGAAGTGTTGAGGAACCAGGCAGATGGGGAGATCTTGTTTTAGACTTGTAGTGTCTAAAAGGGGGCTTATAAGAAAGATAAGTTTTTAATTGGGCCAGTTGGGATAGGACAAGGTATAGTGGTTTTAATCAAAAAGAGGGTAGGTTCAGAGGGTGGTAAAACCCTGACACAGGTTCCCCAGGCAGGTGCTGGACACCCCATTCCTGGTAACATTCAAGGTCAGGTTGGACAGAACTTGGAACAACCTGATCTATTTGATGTTGTCCCTGCAGGGAGGTTGGACTAAAGGACATTTAAAGGGCCTTTCCAACCCAAACCATTCTGTGATGGTTCTATACACCGGTATCTCTGTGTACCACTTCACACTCTCAAGTCCTAGATTCCTGATGCACTCAACATTTTCATGGAAGTAATGAGAAATAAAAAGTAAGATAGCCTACACTATTTTAAGTAAGATAGTGTACACTATCAGTACAGTAAGATAGCCTACACTATCAGAAGGCAGATGTAGCAGGTTTGCATTGGCTGATAATAGCTATATAGCAATAGCAAATCTAAGGCTGACCAAAAAAAGGTAGGGTTTTCCCCTCTATTGGTTAATATAGAAAAATACCAACCAATAATGACTGTGGCTAATGAGGGGAGAGGAATGACGGCTTAAAATTTTGAGGAAGCAGCAGTACTTTGGGTAAGACATTGAACCCTAGCGGACCTGGGAGCTGCCACTGTTTCTAGATCTGCACTTCTGAGGCTCAGGTTCTCAGCCGCACCAACGTCCCTACAAACGTTCCCTTGCCTACGGGATAAATCCTAACTCATCAGTAGTAAATTTCCTCTGGAGATCTCTTCCAGGCAGACTCAAACCTGTAAGAGTTGCCCTGACAGCACACGAGCCCCGATGTAAACGAGTGGTAAAACACTGCCAGAAGGTCAAACAACCCACTGCTCGCGGCGGAAGGGGCCGTGTGGAGCGAACCGCTGTGGCAGCCACCTGTAATTTCCCTGTCACACCGTATTCCTGCCAACAGCTCCTGCCGTACATGTAACCTCTCCAGCCCGGCCCCCCCTAAACCCCGGGCTTCTCTCTTGGCGCAATCACGGCTAAAGCCCCCTCCCAGATCCCGGTAAGACCCAGCCCCGGTAAGACCCTGCCCCGGTAAGACCCTGCCCCTCATCGCTGGCAGCCTCTGCCGCAGCCGCGGCTCCTCATTGGCATTCGCCGCCCGCGCCTCGCCCGCCGCCGCTCCGCGCCCCGCGGCGGGGCCGCCGCCTCCCCCGCCCTGCCGCAGCCAGGGACCCTTCCCGGGGAGGCCGGGCCGGCGGAGCCCCGCCCGCCGCCGGGCCAGCAGCAGCGGCAGCGGCAGCAGCGGGCGGCGGAGGGTGCCCGGCAGCAGCAGCGACAGCAGCAGCAGCAGCAGCAGCGCCGCCGCCCGCTCCGCAGCGCAAGGGGAGGTGAGCGGCAGCGGGAAGCGGCGCCCGGCTCCTGCTCGCCGGGGCGGGGGCTGCGCGGTTCGCCTCGCTTCGCTTCGGCTCGGCGGCACCAGCTCCGGAGCGAGGGATGGGGCTCCTCTTGTGAGACGCGTTCGCTCCTCGGTTTGTCTTCTTGCTCTTGTTTCACGAGAGGTGATCCGAAGTGGCGGCAGCCTGCTGGCCAGCGCTGATAGTTTAAGGAGCGTTGCGTTGTAGCTGCCCTTCTGCGGCGAACTGGGCTCGGTTATATGTGAATAAGCAGTTTCAGGGGTAGGTACGTCGTGAAAATAGCATGTGGATTATTGCCACTCTTTTCGAATGGGTGGGAGCTGCGAAGGAAGGTGACATTAGTATCTATCATTCCGTGAAAAGCATCATATCTCAGGTAGAAGGCAGGATTTTTTTGGTTTTTTTGTTTTCCAGGCAGGAACGACCAGGTGCTTGTCGCGACCAGTTTGCAGAGACGTGTATTGGTAATATTCAGCCAAAGGCACGAGACTGCTCCATATCAAAATGAACTGGGAGCCTGTGGCTTGCATGTTATATTTAAAGTAGAGCACTGCATCCTTTCTTAAAGATGTCTGGAAGTGTAACCACAGAAAAAGCCTGTTGTAGTAGTGATAGGCAGTTTACTAGACATAGCCTTCGTATATTTATCTCATATAGTAGGAGGGGCCAGACGACTGTTTCAGTAAAATGTTTTAAAGCACAGATTGCAGAGATGGTTGTAACAGAGATAAAACAACTATGGATAAGTAATTAAGGATTGAACAGACTTATATGGGGAAAATGGGGAAGGAAATTGAACTGTGCTATGAATAAATGGCCATGCTTGTGCAGCAGTACTACAAAATATCTACTGTATCAGAGAAAATTCACCTCTCTTAACTGCAGAAAGCAGTCAGGCATTCAAGGTCTGTGGAGGGAGGGAGTCCTTTATATGGAGAGGCTGCTGTGGAAAAAGGCGCTAATTAAAGCAAGTAGGATCGGTTCATCTTTATCCTATTGACAATTTAATGTTTAAAAATGACCCTTTGACTGTCTGGGAAGGTAAATCAGCGATGAGAACATGCTTTTGATGAATGAGGGTGGCATTTTACACCTGGCCTTTATTTTGGAGGGGGGATGAGGGGAGAGGGAAAAGTGTGCTAATCAGTAGATTAAGGAATGCAATTCAAAAGAAAAAGAAAATTTAAGTAAACATTTTCTATGAATGCTTTGCAGCACTATTCCTGGAAGACAGATGCAAGTGTTCAAATCTATGTTAAGTTCATCAGAGTGAGCTCTGATGTTTGCAGAATGATTTTCACCAGATAATTTGTAGGGATAGATAATAGTATAGTAACAGTGACACTGTGTTTGAAGATATTCTAGAGACTTAAAACCTTAACTAGACCTAAAACTGTACATGCAAGTAATTGGCTGTTGTCTGCTCTGCTGTTGTCCCAGAGTGACCTATTCCCCTCTTGTTTATGCCAGACTTACTGTAAGTCAGAATCATAAAGTAATATTTCATGCAGATGCAGTGAAATTATTCTGCTAAATTTCTTACCAGCTATTCTGATTGTGGTGGACCATGCTAATCAACTGTGTGAACACCAGTTACTCCTTTTAAAAAAATGTGTTACTTCTGAGGATTTGAAAACTGCAGAAATACCTTTAATCCTATTAGAACTGATGGAATTTGCTCTACCCTTGTAAACTGATGTTCTCTAGACTAATGCCAGGTGTAGAATAGTTTGCACTTTTGTCTTTCCACTGGAGAGATTAAAGAAAGAGGGAAGCCAATTACAGGTGTTACAATGGTAGAGATGCAATTATGTGATTGCACCCAAGATCTGCAGTTACAACAGCAGAATAAAACAAAAACACAAGGTTATTATTGGCAAAATCTTTTATTTCTGTTAAAAAAATGGATGTTTCAATATACTGCTGACATATCTGCAATATTGTGCATACATTAAAGAAATTTTATGTGTTGTCACTGCCTCTAAAAGTTCGAAAACACTGGGCAATCTTTCCTCTCCTGGCAACAGCAGGCAATATTCCTAAGTGCTTGTGCCGTAGCATCTCCTCTGGTGCTGCCTTCCACTGGAGGTCTTGCCAGGACTGAGTTTTGGCTTAGCAGATAAGCTGAATCAGCACAGATTACATTTCTTCACAGCCTGCAGCTCCCCCAAAGCGAGAGTTCAGCTAAGCTGAACCTCTCGGTGGCCATGCCACAGACCTTGGTTGGATCAATGAAAACCAACTCATGCTCCAGTCTAGCTCATTGTATCATAGGTAGACCAGAAGTTTTGGCCATGCTATAAATTGGATTATTCCATTGCCAGGTAAATAGGAGCAATTGGTTGAATAAATTCTATTGTATGTGTTTGCAAATTATTTATTCTTGTCAGAGTTAGAGGATATTTGTAGAAAACTTTCCCTGACTGGTTCCATGACATCCTTGCTTGAGCAAAATATTAACAGGTATGCCTGGCTGTGCTTACTAAAAAACTAAATTAATTAATAAGCAATCTATGATTTTTTATGAATAAGTATTAATTTTTTCCACCCAAAGCTCAGCTGTGTTGTGGAGCACAACTAAAGACAATGTGGTGTGTACGACAGATGTTCTTTGAGTGATAGGGAGCAATTTTATGACTGTGATACTGAAGATATTGAAAGCTTAAAATCAGTAGAAATTAAAGTGAACTAAAAATCTTGTTATTCCCTGAATTATTTCAAGGAAACCATTAGGCACAGTTACTGTGGGGTAACTACAAGTAACTCATCTGGAGGCAAGCCCTGGCCACAGTAAATATACAAAACAGGAAGAATGAAAATCTCTGTTAAGTTTTTAACTTAACATCCACAAAGAGAAAGCTTATTTGTCAATTCTCTTGTCTGACTGAAGACTGAGTTATTCTTCAAAAGATACAGGAGTGAGCCCAGGTTATAACTTTGGATCTGCTTGGTAGTCTGTTATAAATAAAGCTTTTCAGACTTTGAGTTTAAGATACTAGGACTCAGAATGGTGAGGTTAGAGGTGTTACCAATAGATCATTAGTAACAGGAGTGTGGTAACTGTTGAAATAAGGAGTGATGGGTGTAGGAAAAAATGACCTATCTCTTGCTCCTGTCTGATGGAGGAAATGAATTATGCAGAGCACTTAGCCATCTCTTTGAGCAAGAACATGATACATCTCTTCTTGGTACTGAGTAATCCTTGCCACTGATGATATATGTAATCCACAGGTAAAACACTCATTGTGACCTTTGGTTTGCTGATAGCATTCCCTGAGAGATGTGTATGAGCTGGCGTGCTTGCCAGTTTTCCTTTGAAAAGCTCTCTGGATCTGAGTAAGGGTCCAACTTGTTCTTTATTATGGCAATGAATTCTCTATGCTTTCTCTTCATTCTTCTGCATCAGAAAAGCAGGTTTTATTCAGTGTGATGGTAGGCTGAGGGAAAGATTTGCTAAAAATTGCCTTGGCAGTCACCATTTGGGAGCATGATATAAAGGGGAGACATAAATGTAATTTTACAAATGGCTAATGCATTAAATGCTGAAAGTAGGACTACTGATCTTGCTGCAGGCAGCAGTGACCACTGGAGCTTTTCTCCTAAGAGAAGAATAAAAGAAACAGCGTGATTCTTAGAGTAAGAAGCATCTCTAACATCTGGGTACATTTTCAAAGTCATTTTTGCATCAGTCAGTTCCATTTGTGAAATGTGGAGGACGCATCTGAGATCTTTGTGCCACTGTTCAGGATCAACTTTGTAATTTGGCCAGGTCAGTAACATACTATGGTGAACCTGTTTTAAAAAAAGACTTAAGTAAATCTGGGAACAGGGCTCTGTTTACAGGGTCGTAGAACTGCTCAGGTTCCAGGTCCCTCTGGAGGTTGTGTAGCCAACCCTTCGCTCAAAACATCTAGAGCAGAGTGCACAGGACCGTGTGCAGCTGAGTTTTGAATGACTCCAGTCTCTAGGGTTGGAGACTCCAGTGCCTCACTGGGTCGCCTGCATGTGTGTTGGACCAATCTCACACTGAGAGTTTTCTTCTGTCTAAATGCAGTTGCTTGTGTTTTCAGTTGTGTCTGTTGCATCTTGTTCTTTCAGTGAGCCCCTGAGAAGAGTTTGGCTTCCTCTTCTTTGCTGTTCCTTCTTTGTCACGTGGGCATTCTCCTTGTCTATGGTCAGCTTGTCCACTGAGAGTCCCAGGTCTTGCTCTGTAAATCCATTTTGCTAGCCAGTTGCCCTCCAACCTCTGCTCGCACAAAAGGAGAGGGAGGGCTAAACAGAAAGGTGGGAAGGAGAGAAAATGACAAAGGGAAAAGAGTAGGAGACATGGTGGGAGGTGGGTGGGGGCGTGCAGAGGAATGCAGGCATCTGGAGACATTATGCTGTTTGCAGCAGGCTGGTTTACCTCAGCCCCATTATAGTGCTATTGAGGGAAGACCACATGTCAACCCACAAGTGCTTTTATGCCTGGTAATTGAAGCAGGATTTAATGCATCCTGTCGTTGTAAACAATGACATTAGTATGAATCAACAAGGATGTGTGAGTTTTTCCTCTGAGGTTGGTACATACGCTTCCAGGGCAGCCAGGAATTTCCAACAGTCTTTGCAATGGCATAAATTCAGGCAGTTTTGGTGTGATTTAATAAAAGGTTTGGCTGGGCAGCTCACTTTGCCTTATCAAGCTTATTAAGGCAGGCTTTTCCAGGAATGGCCTTTCAGTAAAACATCATGATTCCTAAAGGAACAACAATAATTTTATGACAAGCCACCAGTATGATATGTTAGTTATGGAAGACGTGGGTGAGAGAAGCCTTCTGTGGTCACTTAGAGGATCACTGGCATTCATATTTTAATCTAGTGGTAGTCCTCTAGAGTAGATGGTGCAGGACTACATTTAAGAGTCCTTTATGGTGGTTGTAAAATGGAGGTTGTGTGATGAGGTTGATTCTGGTGTTTCATAACACTTGTACACTGGAGCATAGAATTCCTTGGTGTTTGGAAATCACAAAGACTCCAACCACTGGGAGTCTTTCCCAGCTCAGAAGTAGTTGCTGCTTGTCCTTATCATTAGCCCATGCCCACATCCACTGTAAATAGGTCACTCAAAGTCAATGTAGCAGTATCTGTCCACCCTTTGTACTTTGGTTTTTTTCTTCCAGAAGATTGAAAGTCGCCCAAGAAACAAAAAATATGGTTTTCCTTTTCAAAGTCACCAGAAGTGTGATCCATGGTAAGGTGTTAGAACCATGCCATCAAAATTCTCTTTACTTTCATCCAGGCACATGCCAAGGCCTGTGTCTCAGATGTCCCTTTTCTTAACCTGCTGCCTCTCTGCCAAGTCGAGTTGTCCTAGTCCATGTTTCAGTGAAGATCCTCTTCGAAGCACCCACCATTCAAGGGACAGCAGCCACTCACCTCTGTCAGAACCCTGCTTGCTTTAGGACTCCTTGGTGTTATAGGGCAACAGGGATTGATCACAATAAATATGCTGACTGCCTCTCCTGACCTACAGGCCCTGGTCCATCCAACAGGCCTGAGATGGCAGGAGGGGTTTCATCTGCTAAGACCAGATTTACTTATTTGAAGTAAAATATAAGGTATAAGTATAAAGTACAAGTATTTACTTACATTGTATTTGACATTATGTTGAATTTGTATTCTGAAAGAGTAACACAGTATTATGCCAAAATCCCAGCACAAGCATGCTGCAGAAATTGTAATATATAGTGGAATTGCAATGCAAGCTGCTTCCTCATGCCAGTCTCTGCATGCTCCACTGTCATGAAGGTGGATTTCTTCTAATTAGAGAGGTCCAAACCAGGGGTTGAATACAAATATAGCCTTCAAATGTTCAGATAACCTGCGTAGTGTGGCATTTTCAGGTTTTTTTCCTAGCAGTTTGCATTGTGGTGCTTAATTTGCAAGAGTGTGTGTTGTATTTTTTCCCTACATTAGGTCATGACTGTCATTTTGTTCAGTACTTCTGAAGGACAAACCTTTTACTTCATAGAAACCAAGTCCTGAAACTTGTTGGGAGTAAAATGTTGTGTAATGTTGTTATTTCTCTGAGATTGAAAATCAAGGATTCTTGGGTAATTGTGTGTGACCTTTCAGATCTGAGATCTGTCTGCATCAAGGCAGAGGCACAGATCCCTTAAAACATGTCCCAGGATCAAGGCTTTTTCTGGCTCCATCAAGAGTTTCAGGTTTGAATAGCAATCAAACCAGATATAACATGTGCCATCAGTGTGCGGCATGCAGGGATGGGGTGGCTTTGTGTGCTACCCTTCATGGTGAGAATTTACATCAGGATGTAAGGCTACAAGTGGTTCATATAGTATAAAGTTTCACCACTTAGGATTTTTAGACATTCTGACTGAAGTGAATTAATTTTCAATTTTCCATCATAAAAAGGGAGGGAGAGAGCAGCCTACAGAGGATATGCATACTGTAAACCCCATATAAGTGAAGCTATACTAACCTTTGAAATACTCATAAACAATTTCTGTGGAGAGCAGGGATGGCTTTTAAGCAGCAGAAGCCAAAATGTGGAAAGCAGCAAATATGCATCCCATTTTCTATGCCATGATGCTGGAGCCAGGGGTGTCTGGTGAAATCTCATAATGAAACAGTTGTTTGAGCAGTTGAATACAGCCCAGCAAAGCAGCTCTTGAACTAACATGGGCTGCCTGTCTGCCAGTAAACAGATAATTACACTCTGCTGTTTAATTGAACTTCCATGAAAACTACAATATGTTTTTTGTAAGATCTACCATGAAAATGTGTCCTGCTTGTGGATCCTGCATATGGGGATCAAGATGCTGGGGAAGGGTGTCAGGTACAAAGGTAATGCTCTATATGCTGAACACAGTGCAGTGAGGAGTCAAGCATACATAAGTGACTCCCTCATAGCTTTCACAGAGGAAAAGTGTATAAGCAGAAAACCTGTTGCTTGGTTTTCAGAAATCCTTTTGATTCCGATGACCAAATTTAGATACCTGGAAGGCACTGCAGCTGTGGATACATTTGAGGAATCTCACTGTGACTCCCTGAGTAGTTAAAAAAAAAAATTTTTTGACTGAATTTTCCTGCTGTCGCACTAATTCATTTTGTTCCTAAAAACCATTCAAAAGTGGCCAGGGTCACTTTTTGGGAAGGTTTTTTCTTTTTTATTACCTTGATTGCTGAATATAAATCTTGGCCAGTCTGTCAACCTCCAGTTTCTCAGATTAGTAGCATTCTTATTCTGAAACTAGTATTTCAATTGAATTTAGTCTCTTTCCACAAGAATCAAGAATCAACCTTTAACAGATAAATTAACAAAGAAATTGATGATTCGGAGATGCAAGTTGTGCCATGTTTTTTTGTTAAGTGTTTGAATTTCTTAACATTAGGAGCATGTTGGGAAATCTGTAGGATATACACATATGGAATGTGACAGTCTGGAAAGTCTGAGTCTGCAAAGAAATCCTAAAGAGTCTTCTACTTATACACTCAAAAATCAATAACCTACAGAAACAATGTGGTCTGTAATCCATTACACTGAAAGCTCTGGAGAGCAATAGGAGCCCACATGGCACAGAGCCATATGTATTTAAATTGAATGTCTTATAAAATGAGATGAATAAACATCTTGGAATAATACACCCACTTCTGTAAATTTACAGGTTGCACCAGCTGGCAGATTAAAAAATAAGAAAGCAAGAAGCTGGAAGAGTTTTGATCACCAGGAAGGTCTGAACCAATGGACTGTGTGGATATAGATATGTTTGAAGGCATCTGCTCTTCCCCTTACAAGGTAAGGCACAAATGGATTTCTCTGCTGGTTTGTGTCTCTTCATTGCAGTCCAGCTCCCTTTTGTGGCACTGCCCAAGATGGTAGTGGATGTGTTCTCCAAAGCTTGTTCAGCCTAGTGGCTGATTGCTAATAACTGTGGCCAGTTATTAATGACATAAGTGGATGATATGCAGACCCAGAAAAGCCTAAAGCTTCAAAAGCCAATGATAAATTTGGATCCTTGGGGCCTGTAAAATTCAAAGTTTTATTATATGAAGTACCTGCTCAGATATCTCTACAGGTTGTCTATTTTTTGCATGTGCTAATAGAAGACCTTCCTGCTCACCTAAGGCATTTTTTTTATGTGCTTATTAATTGCTGTAGATTGAAGTAGACTTGAAACCTGTACGTAGTTTAGCAGCTAATCAGGAGAAAAGGTCTCTAAACTAAATGCCATAACATGTCTCTGACTGGAGATGCAAGTTTTGCTGTTTCCTTTGTGCAATTTTAATTTTTCACTTTCAGGATTGGTATATGGTTTGTTTACAAAACCTGCTTGATTTTCCTTTTTTTTTTTTTTTCTCTACCAGTAAAAATATTTACTTACTGGTCTAAACGGAAGGTGGTGGAGAGCTTGATAGATTTGCTGAGCATCTTTTGCCTGATGCCCAGATATAATCTCACTTACTCTGAATGTTTCCTTTACTGAGTTACTTTCAGGGAAGGTACAAAACAGAATTTCAAAAAGCTACTTGAAGCTGGTAGGAACACTTGAGAAACACATTAACTGAACTTGTTTTAAAGTAAAATTTCTCATTTTCGAGATTATGTAGTTCTGCGTGTCTGAGGAGTGGCTATGTGGGACTTCATATTTTAACAATTTGGATCAAGACAAGTTTGCTACAAAGCAAATACAAAACCATACCAGCTCTGTGTTACTCAAGAGCTCAAATCAAGCAGCTGAGCAGTTGGAAAAGAGGCATCTGCAATTGGGCTTAGCTGGTCTCTGCTTTAACCCAGAGCAGCTGAAGAGAGGACTTTCAGCTCAAGTCAGTGCAACTCTTAATTTCTCCATTTTCCCCAGCCAGTGTTAAATGATAAGGGAACAATCCTGTGCAGTGCTCTGCCATTGCTTCTATTCTGTATGGAAATATGACCACCAGTGTTATCAGTCTGCCATTTCCACAAGTGTGAGATAACCAGTCTCCTTCTTTTGTGGAAGAACTAAATTGAAGAGATCCTTAGGTGGGGAATGTAACAGACTGTGGCACTGCATCCTGTAGATATATAGTGGGGGGGCTCCCTTGCATGCTGGAATAACAGGAATGACATGTGTAAAGTATTCAAAAAATGCAAAGATAAGCAATAGGCAGATACAACTTAAAAGGAAAAACACATTCAAACACTTGAGCACTTGGGACATTCCAGTAATTTTCCACAACTCCTGTTAGGAAGGAATGTACATGGATCATAAAAAACTGTAGGATCTATTCTAGATAACAGGCATTTCTCTAGAGAGTTTTATTTCGTCTACCAGGTGGTTGTGTAACCTCTGGTGTCCACACTCAAGTGCCCCTGTGGAATTTGTTTTGCCGCCAGTTGTTGCCAGCTCCCACAAGTACAAATGCCTGCTGGTCTGTGCTTTCCTGTTTGAACACCTTTACACCAGGTGTGTGCAGGGGCATGGGGAGTGGCAGCTTTGGTTCTGCCTGTGAGAAGGGACAATGCCATTTCCTGTGCCACCTTGCCTGCTGTAATCATGTCCTTCTCTGGATCAGAGCTTCCTGAGTTTGTGCTTCTTGGCACAGCAGGAAGCCCAGCCTTGGACAGGGCCTCTGGCTGTTGCGTGGCAAGTAATCCTTCCAAATAGGATTTGCATTCTTGCAGCAGCCCTTCTGGGGATAGAGGCTGAATGCATGGAGGCAAATTGTGCTTACACAGACATAGCTCAAGCCCAGCCATTCAGAACACCAGTCAATGACAGAGTTGCACACAAATTGAGTATCTGAGTATCTGAGAACTTGTACTAGTGGCTAAGAAAAATGTACCAGATCAGAGTATTCTGCAGTGTCTTAGTTAACTGGATTTATTGGTGCTGCTTCACAGCAGAAATGTTGTTAGAGCCCCAGAGTTGCTTTGTTACTTTTCATTTGCCAAAGGCTGTCATCCCTGCAGTGCTGCTGTGTGGAAATGTGAGCTTGCAACTCAGCTACTTCTGTGAACCATCTTGGTCTTCACCTAAAACTTCATTGATCTTTCAGTGCTGTGCATGCCCTGCTTTAAAGCACCCGAGATGTTCTACTACAGTGACTCTTGGTATTGGTAGAGTATATATAGTATAGTTTATATAGTATATGTTGTATAGTGATTCTTGATGGTAGCCTGCAGCTCTTGGATAGAAAAAATAATTGGATGTAATAGTGGCTTAAATCAAAGCCAGACTTTGAATTCCTGAGCTTTTAAATTGTGATTTGTTTGTGGGGATTATTCTTGATAACCCTTTGGCCATGTTTATCCAGTTTTGGCTGAGAAATGACTGAGAAACCAGACAAAGCTTAGGAAGTGAAGGAATAAATGACCTTCTGGTTTATACCCAACACAAATACTCCAATATTACAAGAAACTAGGTGAATTTCAGTAAATATTCATGTCATGAAAATAAAGGCCTGAAAACCTCTGAAAATCCTAGATTAGAAAAGTTAAAAATGGAATAAACATTTTCTTCAACTTATCCAAATATTTTGTAGCTCTAGTTTTGTTGTGGGTTTTCTGTTTTTTTGTTTATTTCCTCTGTAGAACATAAGGACATTTTTTTCCCTCAATATTTTTCTCCATATTGAAGCACTGGTAATTTTTAATTAAAACATTTATTTTTAAACTAAGGTTAGCTGAATCAAAATGAGTTCACTTTGCTAGGAGTTTGCAGTCCAGCAGAAGACTTTCTTATACTTAAATTTAAAAAAAAATTTTTGCTGATGACTTAGTCCTGTCTTCCTCCTTTCTGGTGCACTGAATTTTATGTACCTATTATTCACTTTTCTAGCCTTGATGAGACCTCAGTTGTTCTGCTATGTTGGGTCCCACATAAAGAGAAAATGCATCTTTCTGCAAAGAATATATGATCAAAGAGGCAAGAAAGACTGGATGAGTATGACCCAGGAGCATAGGGACAGTGAGACATTTTTCATCAGCATAGTAAGCAGTGCCTTCAGGAACCTGCAGGCAGCCATTTACATACACAACTCAGTAGCCTTGAGGTGATGGTGTTTTAAGGTGGTAGAGAATCAAAGCCTTTCATCCATGCAAGTGGGGAATGATCTGAAGAACTGCACATCGTGTCACTGTAGTACTCCATCTATGCTGTTTTGATTTGAATAAGAGCAATTTGATTTAAATCAGCTTGGAAATGGGAGCAGGTTCTTGGCAGTGGGGGGAAGCCTTTTCCTTTTGGAAGTGAATGTGACATACATCTTGCCTGTCCTGCTGTGTAATTTGTCCTGACATTTGCTGGCACAGTAAGTTCTTACTAACTGCAGTGACATTTGCCCCGCGTGACATAATTCGGAACACTTTTTCATAATACTTCCACTTGAACTGAAAGCAGCCAAACTGTCTTTTCTAATTTCAGCTCTCTTGATCCCCTGTCCCCAGTGATAAATTCTGCCTTGCAGTGTTTCCCAGTGCTGCCTGAAGTAAAAAGATGAGATAGCAGCTAGCAACACCAGGTTTTTCCCTTGTTGCTACTCTAGAGCATGCTAGAAGTCACTGATCCTTTATGAGCCAAATCCTGAAGGAGTTAGCTTCACAAGTCAGCCCTCCCAAAGCAGACATTAAGATGCAGAAGTAGCAACAGAGCCACCTAATGATCAGGTGTGTTTGTTCTTGCCTCTAATACTAATAACACTGGTCACTGGTCACAGAATATTATATTCAAAACCCATCAAAAGGAAAAAAGGAAAAAGGAAAAAAAGGCACAGGTTACAGTCTGAACACGAAAAAACCATTTTTTTGGTTTTGATGGGGAATTGTTTCAACTTTGTTTTTAATTTGTTTCTAAAAGAAAAATATTCAGTATTCTTTAGTAAAGAATATCGAAACACTTGTTGCTACTTATTCATGTATTCAAGCTGCGTGTGAGATGCAACATTTATTTCTTGATGATTAGGTGGAAAATAAAGTTGTTTTGATAGCATTTTGTTCATGTTGGTGACACTGAATGTACATAATTCACTCCACTTTGTGATCTGGCCCTGACAAGTTTTATTACTATTTCTATCACTAATAAGTGACGGTGTATCTTTTGGGGTGGTAGGAGACAGTAGGGATGAAAAGTCTTCTGGGTGCAGTTAAATGTTGTCAAGTGTGGTGGAGAATTCACTATTAACTGGAGGAAGTTTGGGATTATGGTCTCTTGCTCAGTATCTGGTATGGAAAATAAACTGATATACTGTGTAAAATCAGACTGTGAAATCTGATAAAAAGATGAGCTTGCTATGAGACTAATCTAAGAGGGTCCATCAGTACTGGCAGAAAGAAAGGAGCAGGAGCCTGGCTATGCAGGATGTCATAGTGCTCTCTCTGATTTCTCACCAAACATAGAAACAAAGGGAGACGTTTAGGTATTTACTTATACAGCCTCAGGTTCCTCACAATCCATAATGAGCCATAGTTTTGAGGACAATCTTGTATCAGCTCTGTGGGGTGGGGAAATGCCCTTATCCCACCCCTCCATACAGATGGCCACTGAGATTAGCCCAGGATGATCATGCAAAGCAGAGAACCAAATTCCACTTCTAAAACTAAGCACCAGACCTGCCTATACTTTTACATGCATGGGCTGATTTTTCTGCAGAAGGAGTGGGCCATGCCATACCTGTCCTCAGATTAAGGATCAGCCTGTTAAATTTCAGCTGTGCATTTCTAGGTCAGATTTAAAGTGAGTAAAAATGTCACACTTCAACTCTTTGCTCTTCAGGAAGAGAACTGAAAATAGTAAATGGAGAACAGAGAGCTACAGAAAT